TAGAAAGGGGGGGGGGATAATACTAAAGATGATGATAATGTTGTGATTAAGGAGGGTGAGGGTTATACGATGACAAAGTGTGGGATGGTGATGGGGGACACAATAAGATGCAATGAGGAGATGAGGAGGTGAAGAGGTGAGGAGATGGAGAGATGAGGAGATGAGGAGATGAGGAGATGGAGAGATGAGGAGGTGAGGAGATGAGGAGATGGAGAGATGGAGAGATGAGGAGGTGAGGAGATGAGGAGATGGAGAGATGAGGAGGTGAGGAGATGAGGAGATGGAGAGATGGAGAGATGAGGAGGTGAGGAGATGAGGAGATGGAGAGATGAGGAGGTGAGGAGATGAGGAGATGGAGAGGTGAGGAGATGAGGAGATGAGGAGATGAGGAGGTGAGGAGATGGAGAGATGAGGAGATGAGGAGATGAGGAGGAGAGGAGGTGAGGAGATGAGGAGATGGAGAGATGAGGAGATGAGGAGATGAGGAGATGAGGAGATGAGGAGATGAGGAGGTGAGGAGATGAGGAGATGGAGAGATGGAGAGATGGAGAGATGGAGAGATGGAGAGATGGAGAGGTGAGGAGATGAGGAGATGAGGAGATGAGGAGGTGAGGAGATGGAGAGATGGAGAGATGAGGAGATGAGGAGATGAGGAGATGAGGAGGAGAGGAGGTGAGGAGATGAGGAGATGGAGAGATGAGGAGATGAGGAGATGAGGAGATGAGGAGGTGAGGAGATGAGGAGATGGAGAGATGGAGAGATGGAGAGATGGAGAGATGGAGAGATGAGGAGGTGGCCGTTGCTCCTGCTGGACTGTGTGACTCTTGCGTCGGATGTTGCGTGTAGTTCTCCGACACGACGCGCAGCACACGCGCACAACACGCCGGGTACAGTAACACATCACCGGTCAGGCGTGTTCTCTCGCGTGTGTCGCCGCCGCTCTCGGCAAAACCTCTTGTGGGACGGCCAGTCGCGCTCCTGGCAGGATGTGCCACAATATCTGAGGGAGGGAGAGAGACCGCCTCCGTTTTAGTTTCAGTAAGAGTTTTACAGCCCATACAAAACAATACGGTCATATAAGTGCCGAAGACCAGAGGTGTTACAAGAGAGTAACAAACACAGAAAAGAAGGAGGGGAGATAAAGACGATAGATGTTTGATAGGAAAGAAGAAGCAAACCACACCAGAGCACCTGCCAACCACCCAGTTTCAGTTTGGTAAAAGTTTTACGGCACTCACAACTGCACAAGGACACACGGGCACACACAACACAAGTTGGTTGTCTTCACGTTAGACTACACAGCACGGTGGGATTTTACTTTAAGATTGAACTTTTTTCTTTTTTTTTTTTAGTTTTAGTAGAGGTTTTACAGCGCTCACAACTGCATAAATGGTTGAAATGAAAAATTTATGGTAAAATTCCAATAGTACAAACATTTGTCTACATTTTCCAAACAGGAAGTGACGCCGTGTATCGTATCTACATTCTGGGGTAAAGAGTAACGGTCTTTCTAAAATCGAGAATTCTGCTGGGATCAACATAGGAGAACAAATTCTTCAAATTCGGGCATTTCAAATATTTCCTTCCAGCCTCGCCCACAAGACACATAAAGCCGGCCACAGACACCACCAATCACAGCACAGACTTCTGAATGGGAAACCAAGTAAAGCAAGAGTTTTAATTTTAGAAAGGTTTTACGGCACTCGCAACTGCATAAGGTCATACGAGTGCCAAGGGGTGGATGTCAACAGAGAAGTCCTTACAGGGAATCAGACTTACTCTGCTCACCTCTCTAGCTTCAACAGCACAAAGTCTGCTTCGGCTATCGAGGCACCCCGGAAATAGCAGGTCACAAGAGTGTGACAAACATACAAAAGAAGTAGAGGAAAATGACGATAGTAAGGATGAGGAAAGAAAAAGCAACAGTTCTCCCTATGTTGTTCCGGCACAGTATGAGCATGACATTGATAAATCAGCCCATGTACAATTCTACTGTGCACAAGAACATGTTAATGTCCCCCCATGGGAATGGCCTAAAGATAACTTCAGCCAGTAGTACTGTCTTTGGGGGGGGGGGTCTCTCGTGTAAACTTTCACTTCCTGAACTGACCTGAGTACCTTTGAACAGCTCACTGACGACCGACACAACAGACAGGGAGAACAAAAGCGAGCGAGTCGCGCTTACCTGACTTCCTGACAACGCCCGCATATACTGAACTCTCGCACCTCTCTCTCCATGCGCGTGCACGGCGGGTAGTGGCACTCGTAGTAGATGTAGCTTTCACCTGTCAACAGACACGCAAAACTTCACATCATCACCGACCGCCATTCATCATCGTCAGATTGTCAAAATACTACATTTTTCAGGAAAAGCAACAAAAAACCCAACGTTTTATTTCACTCGCAACATCGAAACACAATGATTAATTTTCCTACATCTGTTCCTATTTTATGGAAAGGAATGAGACTAGGACCAATCGCTGCACCTCATCAAGCCCTATCAATATCATACAAAAATCCTCCTCATCCAAATCTTACTTGATTTGTCCTTTTTTCAGAAACTTTGACAAATTCTAATGTAGAATGAAGACAATGATTTGATCTCTTATTGGGAAAAATTTGCTGTGATCAAATCTACAGGAAGTCATGTTCTTGCTATTCCCAACCTGTGACTCAACTTTACATGGGTAGTTGGCGGGTGCTCTAGAGTGATTTGCTCCTTCTTTCCTATCAAAACATCTACCTTCCACTTCTAATCTACGGCACTTGAGTGACCTATTTTGTGCTACATATGCCGTAAAACTCTCACTACAACTAGAGCCTGGCCTCACCTGAGGGGTCAACCACGTCTCCGTTGAAGTCAAACCACTTGTAGCACGGGGGGTAATTCTGGGGGATGGATATGTCATGGGTTA